ACTGTTATTGTTTAGCTTAAAATCTAAAATAATACATTATCAATTTAAGGCATGTGAATACTATTATTATTAAAATGTGTTTAGGGCTTATAATGCATAACAGCAACATAAATATTTTAAATATGACACACGTTTATAATTAAGGTTATAGAAAAAGGTTTTTTTCTAAAATTATATTTATAATTAATATATAATTTCGATTTAATCCTCGAATCCTCGTTTTTGAAATTATGATGAACGAGTAACGTGTACTTTTTCTTTTAGGTACACTTAAACATATTTGTTATAGTTATAGATTATTTAAATATAATGAAAATTAATTTTGAATTCAATATTAAGACACTTATAATAGGCATTAAATAATTGATGGTGATCAGATACGAAATTATTATTCCTGCTACGTGTAAATAAATAAAATAAATAAATATCTCTCCAGTGCAGTGTACTTTTAAACCTAGAAAATAAAATTGTATTTAGACAGTGTTTAAAGTCTATGGGCTTGTAATACGTCCTTGGTACATACGTAAAATGCAACTTCATGGTTCAACATTAACACACCATTAGAAGTCGTCTAGACTACGTGCACACGAATCTCCGAGGTTTCAATGAAATCGAACAATCGTCTACACGAAAACAGAGTTTTCGTCGAAAAATTACGTTTTCTAGAACTAAGTCCGTGTACCGAAAAATCGGTTCTCATGGGTATATGCAATGGGAACAAATATTGTAAAACGATTATTACGTTAAATCCCCGTTTGTGGATTTGAATAAAATATATATTATTGTTACGGTCTCCATGTCCCGTTCAAACTGTACAAATTATTATGAGGCATAATTTGGCCCGTAGAAAAGTATCAGTCCATTGTCCGTCCGTGCGTCAACTACTTCTACATTTATAGTATATTATTAGTCAATGACCATGCTTCGCCAGACCTGTGGACCGTGCGGTAGAATTATAAAGATTTATTTCGATCCATATATGTTCTACGTGATTCCGGAGTTCAATTGATGCTCTGCTGCAACACAGCGATGAACACAACAATATCATTTACGAAAAGCTGGTATATATATATATAATATTATTACAACACGTCATTATCGTTATTATAATTCGTCAATATATTACCACGAAAACGATTTCCGTTTATTTACAATCGTGTGTGTGTGTGTGTTTAGGATTTGTTTCCGAATCGCCTATTGTTGCGAACGCGTATTAATATCGAACCACCGAAATACCCTCCTCGGTCGGCATCGCATTATTGTCGCCGTCGGTCATCGTTTGTAAAAACCTCAATGCGTATTATACATACTACGTTGATTCGTCATCCGAGAAGAACAGACACTACCAAGCTAAATAAATCTAAAGATCTATATATCGTCATCGTCGGCCTCCTTTAATATTATTATCATCATTCATTCCGAACGATTATAATATTATGTGTATCCCCTGATCGATTCTGATGGTTGTTCGAGCACGCACTCGTGTCCTGCATAAATATAATATTATATTTTATTAGTATTATTTTTGATGTGCACTTTGTGCTCGGTGACTGTCGGCCGGTATACGTGACTGCGATATTGTGTGTGTGGAGTGCCGAATTGAAAAAATAATCGTTTTCGTAATTATGAGAGAAAAAATGAATACACATAAACCTGTGTACATGCACGTACTTCAAAAACTATGCCGTGAGCTCGACGCGATGACACTGCAGTGATGTACAATATTGCGGTGTACGCATCCACCGACGTAATACAAATACATGATTCGTACACAAATATGTGTATCTGTACTCGCGTGATTGGTTCGAAATATCGTAATTGTGGAAATAAAGTAAAAAAAAAAAAAAATACACAGGGGATTTGCTGCCGTATGTAATGTGATCATAATACAATTTTGTTGTGTTTTGGTTATGTAGCAGCAGCAGCAGCGGTGGTGCGATGCGTGAACGCGGCAGTAGTGGGACTACGCCGCCGCCGCCGTTGTCGTAGGTGGAGCCAAAATCCGAACGCCGAGAAGTTACCGTGCAAGACAATTATCTTTCACATACGTATACCTGTCAAGTGTGTTACACATCGGTTTTAAAACAGAGAATAGTGCCGCAACGTCGCAAGTTCGATAAAAAAAAAAAAAAAAAAATAAAAAAAATTAATAAAAAAATAATAATAATAAAAAACCGAGTAAAGATAAATTTAACCGAATGCACTGTTGCGATAAACGTTCGCCGCCACGGTGAACCCATTTCCGAATCATTACGAATCACAGGTAAGTCGAATGTCATTAATCGGTACTTCGTTGTTAACGTGTGAATATATAAACGGTGTTTTTTTTTTTTTTATGTAAAAGTAAAGAAAATAATTTCGATCGATTGTGAGAAAATTACGGGAAACATAATATTATTTCAAGCGCAATAATTTAATATTCGAATACGTGGTAAAAACCTGTACTGTATATTATGCGCTTGTCCGGTGTTAAATTTTATTATGAAGAGTATGTGTATGCGTATGCGCGCTAGATAGATATAATTCGTATTACAAGCATGTGCATGTAAGCTAGTTTCATTGAAAACGATCCGTCTCGCGCACCCGGAGCTCGTCGAAATGGTTTTAATCGCGGAGATATTTGATAACACGCAAAATCTGAACGCATTATCCTGCTGCTACTGTAAACACACAAGTAGTTTCCGTATTATCTAAGCCGGGCGGGCTGACCGATACAGTAGTTGGAATTTAACGTTCAGTCGATTTTCGTACAGAGCAGATTAATTATAATATGTCTTCAGACGTGTAAAATATGCGATTTATAATCCACACCCCCACACGCGCAGAACAGAGTCGGTAGTAGAAAACGTTTTTATGTTATTAAAATATTTTAAGTCATATTTATTTATGGCGAATAGTATTTATTGTGGATAACCGAAAACGGTGTAATAGTCATTAAATAATGTACACAGCTGTAGAATTGTTTCGTTTGCTCTCTATCACGGTGTTGTTATTGATATTCAATTGTTATTAGGTTAAATTGAACGGTAAAATATATTTTGATTGATGTGTTGAATAATACTCTACTCGAAAGTTTGGCAACAAAATATAGTGATTTTCGATTTTTTAAAAAAAAATATTGTGTTTAGACACGGTAATCGTACGAACCCCATTGGATTTGTATTCCGTTTCTAGAAAGTCGATTACAATAATATTTTTTATACATTTACATTTCTCTCGTTTCGCATGCAGAAAAAAAAACCGTATTGTATAACGTGTTCGCACCTTATAGTTTGTAATTATTAAGAAATATGTGTTTTAAAAACTATATCGGTATAAATGAATATTAACCACGTAATTATCTAATAATATAAATTCATATACTATGAATGCGTGAATGCGTGAATGTGTACGTTAAAGTTTGAGGCTATGATAGAGGGTGAACGCTGTGGAGTAGATATAGTAGTATTTAGTGATAAAATACTTCGTGTTGCACCGCCTGTCCCGCCTAAACTTTCAACACTTATTTTATACGTAGATAGGCACGTGAATAATATTTTATCGTGAACGCGAGAATTTTTTTTTTGTAAAATTTATGCGCGGAGCTATTCGAAAATATCGAATAATTATCGTTCGAAAAAAAAGTACATTATTATGTAGTGTGCTTACAATGCGTAAAAACGACCCGCGATGTATAGAGTTATAGAAATGGTCGTTGTCAAATCGTACCAAAATTAATCCAAAATATATGCAACATTATGACGTGTAATTTGATTCGTAGTAAACATCTTGGATAGCAAAAAATATGAAGTATGATTCTCACAAAAATCAAAGACAATCATTGTTTCGATAGTAGAGCATAAGATATGTGGAAAATGTACCAAATACGTACATGAGAAGTTTTTTTTTTAATTTTTAATTCTTATCAATTAACTAATTTTGCCGGTACCTGGGTTAATTCACCAAGCAATTCATTCCGTTCTGCGACACATTATTGACCTGTAAGCTTTAAAACATGCGCATAATATTTTAATAAATAATAATACAAAAAATGCAATATTTTGGGCAAAAATGAATTCAGTCTCTCTCACACGTTACTAATAAAATACATGTATTATCGTATTCGAGGTTTTTTCACCGAGAACGAGGAAATAATCGAATAATCGCTAATCAATTAGTAGTGACTGTTGGTACAAATGATAATTAAATTTTTTTTTTATCGCACTCGACCAAATCGAGTACCTGCAGTCGAATCGGTTTTCTATTCTAAACAGTTAACATTTTTTAAGATTTCGGTGCCACAATGTGTAATATATATTTAATTTTTTGTATTCGAATCGTTCGCGTTGTTTCGAAGACGCACGAATGAAACGCTGCCGTGTAAAATACACTAACGGAGTGGCACTCAAAACGAAATTAACACATAGATCCAGAGCACCTATACACCCATTGTGCAGATTACGAAACAAATAGAGACTCATCACCAGACTGCGGTTACTGGCAATCGAGAAAAGCTAAAAAAAAAATCCTTAAAGCAAACAATTGAACTTGAGTGCGTTCGTAAACGCGAGTCGATTTATATGTATACGCATACGTCGCGGTAATCCTCTCGCGGAGATAACGGCAACGCGGAGCAGAGAACCACCGCCGTTAAGTCGTTTCAGGTTCGTGCGCGCTCTTCGGCTACAATTGTGTACGCGCGTCTTGTTCCACGTGTAGTCCTCGGCAATCGTGCGCGCGTAATGTGCATCATCGATTATTTAAATTACCACACGCGTGCTCGTACAACGACAACGTTACATTTATTAGCGAAATTCATCTGCTCCATCTGTTAAAAAGTTTACCGCCGCCGTCGCCGCACCACCGTATTGGGTGCGCACGGTCGTTGGAGACCGCAAACTCCTGTGTCCCGGACTCGTAACGACAAATCACTATCGCGACGGAACACCGCGAGCGAAACATGACGCACCACCGAACGACCCGGTAGCACCGTCCAGGTAAACGTCGCATGGACCGTATAACGTTCCGTCCCTTTGGTTTCCGCAACAGCGGACGTTTGTTATCATCGCGGCTCGGATACGCCGACCGCACTACCGTTATGGGCGCGAGCGCGCGCGCGTACTGAAGCCGCCACCGTTCGGCCGTCGTACGCGATATTGCCGGCGGGCCGGATATCTCGCGGTACGGAAAGCCGTCGGGGTGAGATTAGACAACGGCTGTCCCGAGGCGTTATCGGAACCCACCGGGGAGACGACGATATCGCCGCGGGCCACCCGCTTATCTCATCGGTTTCGAGATAAAACGCGCGGAGTAGAAAAAAATAAAAAATAAATGCCACTCGACGCACTGTGCGGTGCCGGCAGTCGAAAAACCAGTCTCGCGCTAGTCGCCTGCGGGACCCCGGTTCCACCGAGGATACCGCCCCCTCGGACGTCCGACATCGAAAATGTGAGCGTCGCGCGACGCCGCTCGACGTGGTAAACGACCATATCTTTATCGTCGTCGTCGTCGTCAACGATTCTCTCGCCTAGACATTATGGTTCGACGGCCCCGTGCGTTTTATCTCCGTTAACCTTTTGCGTTGATCGTTTTTCTATCCGTTTCATTCCTTACGACATCTCTGCCCGGGTCCGCGATCGCGCGCGCGACTGCCGTTCCGAATCGATATTTATCGACGCTCGTTGGGCGCTCGCACCCGCGTATCACAGTATCGTGCGCACGACAATGTGTTGTACGGAGCGCGCGCGGCCATTAGACGACGCGCATTTTTAATTCGAAGTGTTGAAAAGGTACGATGGAGGACGGCGGCATTTCCAGAGGGGTGATAAGACCCGCCCCTACCCATATTAGAACCATTACGACGTCGGGCCACATCACTACCGTGCCGAACATCAACGGGCAACAGGTTCGGAACGAAAACGGCACACCAGACACCATGTCGCAGTTGAAAGCCCAACAGCAAAGAGCCGAGTTCGGGCACGACGGGTAAGTTTTACGCGCGTAATTAAATTTTGTCGCTATGCGTACACACTGCCCCATCATTATAACAGTGGCGTGATCAGGATATATTTCCGGGAAAGAGGTTAACGCTCGGAAAAAATGATCTTCCATCCTCGTCCACCATCACATGATGGTTTGGTTAATGAGCTTGGATGGTTGAACGAATGTCTCTTTTTGTTTAACGTTTTAACAATATTAGTGCGTTTAACTCGAAACAACTACATGTATACGTTTATAACACATTTTTTCGCGTTATTTGTTCGGGTTCAAATTTAGTGTTACTATTATATGTATGATTCGTTTAAAAAAAAATACATCATCCCACTGCCCTTTAATCCTCTCTTATATGCGCCACTAGTCATTAAGTTCTATCATGTATAGTAATCATGGAATACGATGGTTTCGGGCTGATTTCCCAGCACGGCGGTAGATATATGCGTTACAATACAATATAATATATGGTCAGTTAAAGACGACGATCACGAACGGTATAGTGTTTTTTTTTCCCCGCTAGATTATCTGGAAACTGTACACCCGATAATACGGAATGTGTATCGACAGAGGTGCTCATAGAGGGGTTCAACGAAAACGGAACGGGCACCACTCTTCCCGTCTCGACTGCACACACGCCCGAAGAATCCGTGTCACCGAACGAATACCCAAAGGACCATAGCCCACCCACGGAATCCATCAGGCTCCGGAGGAACGTGGAAGGGACTGAAGTGCACTTGCAGATACCGATGGAAAAGTTGGCCACGTTCCACGGGTACGTGGCCACTGCGGAATACCCGAACCATCAGAGATACCAGCGGATCAGATACCTGGAATATCGTGGACAGTCCCCCGAAGAAGGCGTCGTCGGCGGTGGTGGTGGTGGTTTCGAACAGCCCCTGATTAAGTATGAGCATCACCAGCAACAGCAACAGCAGCAGCAGCAACAACAACAGCAGCAGCAACAACAGCAGCAGCAGCAGCAACAACAGCAGCAGCAGCAGCAGCAACAACAGCAGCAACAGCAACAGCAGCAGGGTAAAATGGATCCGAATTCCAGTTATGTAACACTGGAATCTTATCAACAACAGAACTATCAGCAACATAACACATATCAAACGTACCAGTCGTTCGAGGGAGAGCAGCCGGTGGTGGACATGTTCAACTTATACGACAAGGACAATCACGGTGGAGGAGATTACGGGGTGAAGGGCGTGGTTCAGCAGAAGTCCGGTTATGGTCAGCAAACCATGATGCAGCAGCAGCAGCAGCAGCAGCAGCAGCAACAGCAACCGGAGTATCAGGATGACGGTAACGGCGGTGGCGGGGGTGGTGGCAGTGATGGCCAGTCGGACTTTTGGGGCGCGCATGATCAGAGGGTAGCGGACTTCGCAAACGCGGCTGACGAGAGTCTAGTGGCAGCAAACGCGTTGCAAATGGAAGCGGGCCTCGGGCCACAGGATGGCACCATCCAGGTGACGCCGCAATACACCATTTTTCAAAGCGGTAACCCCGGGCCGTCGTGGATCGACGAGCACTACGATCAGAGTAAGTATAATTTACAACAGGTAATCGGGAGCTAAACCAAATGGGTGGTAATTAAGACAAAAGCAACATCGTTTTCGTTTTTTTTTTAAATATTGATCTAAGCCTCGGATGTCAGCTAAAAGTGCGATGACGATGAGTTCGTGAAATTAAGTAACATTTCGGAAAACGTGATTCCTAAAAACTTTAAACAATTAAAAAAATTAATTAAAAATTAAAAAAAAAACACAAATTTATTTTCTTCTATATTTCTTCTGTTTTGTATTTTTCCATTCAAAAGTACACGAAACAAATTTTTAATACTACGAATACTACGCAGCAGTGAAATTTGGGAAACAACGCTAAATACATCCCAGCTCTAGTAATTACTTATGTGTATAACAATAACACCCCGCACCGTGAATTATAACCGGCGTTTGACAACAAAATCCTATTCGGTCGCATAATCATGTAACCGTTGGCATCCTTTTTCGCAGGCGCCATCCTGAATGTGGACATGAAGGAGTGCGTGAACTGTGCGGCGAACGTGACGCCACTGTGGCGTAGGGACGGTACAGGCCACCATCTGTGTAACGCATGCGGCCTGTACAACAGAATCAACGGGGTAAACCGACCGCCGGTCAGGTCGGCGCAAAAAAAGACTACCCAAGTAATTTAACTATTGTTTTATTCACTTTTCGGAAAAACGTAGCGCAGTAGCGGATCCAGGATTTTCTTGGGGGGGGGGGGGGGGGTTGAAAATTTTTTCTCTTGGAATATTTTTTATAAAATTGCAGTCAGTGATTGATAATGAATTAAGATAATAGTAAGTAATATAATACATTAATTTAAATCTAAGACTATTATTTTTTTGTATGAATAAAAATACAAATTATATACTTTCCCTCATACTTTAAAAAAAAAAATTTTTTTTTGAATTCAGAAAATTATTAATTTTTAATATATATTTTTCCTGATTTTGGGGGAGGGTTTAACTACCAAACCCTCCCTCCCGTGGATTCGTCACTAACGTAGTGTTATAAACTTCACGTGTTAAATAAAAATTAACTTAATCAAAATTAATAATATGGAATCCTGATTTTTAATTACTGCGGATCTTAAATCGCCTAACATGTTTCAATATTAGCTATACATTTAAATCGAATCATAAAAAAATAATGTCCAGACATTAAAGAAAAAAATTATAATTAAACATAATTTAATATTATACGTACACAAAACGCACATAACACTGCATTATGCACAGTATAAATGCAAATCGATCCAAACGGACGAAGATAGGTATGTATAAAATATTATAAGTATTAACATAGCGATATTATCTTAACGGTAACGCAGCTCATTTATACTTTAGTTTTATTAATTTGCCGCGCTTGATAAAAAAAATTCGTAAATGCTAGGATGTGCATACCGTTTTTGGTATAAGAGCCCGAATAAATTTGTTGTTTTACGAAAAACCGTATTACTGACCATTGTTGACTAGTAAAAATGAGCTATGCCAATAGTCAGTGGCGCATTTATAATATACGCGCCCCGGGGCAAAATAATTTTTCCACCCTTCCTCCTTACCAAAAAAAAAAAAATATATATATATATAAATAAATTCAAAGTTAAGCAATAAAAAAATTAATTTTATGAAACAAATTATAAATCTGTTGTTTTACGATATTGTATTAGATAATTTTATAGTAATACATATCCTAACGTTAACCTAATTTTTTTTTTCAAAGTGAATATTCCTTTCTTAAAAAAAAAAAATATTTATATATATAAATATATATTAAATATAGAAAACGGAATCAATACTTATTATATGCACAATGATTAACAATACATGGATTTTATTATATTATATATATTATATTTATTATTAATTATATGTAATAAAATAATCAATAGCTTATAATTTTTTTCTTGACTTTTGAGAAGAAAAATGTTCAATTATATCATTAAAATTAATAGTTTTCGTTAAATTAAGTTAAATATTGAGAGTTGTTAATTATTTAAGATGATTTTCTCCCTTTGTTAATCTGAAATAAGTTTTGACCATTTTTAATGTGGAAAATGATTTTTCCGTTGAACAATTACTTGAAGGTGTACATACATAGTAGCATCCTTAGACCAATATCAATATTAGGATATACTTCAACTAAACTATTTTATAATTCTTTTATAAATGCTAACATACATTGAACACTTTTAGGTAAAATTTTACTCCTTTTGTAAACTTTTTAAATGTGCCTTAAAGTGAATACCGTGTTCTGTGTACCCGAGTCTTTATTATAACCATTGAACGAAAATATAATATCTTATCGAATAATAAATGTAATATACCTATTACCTAGGTGACTAGGTATAGTATAATTTTTTTAATTTCTTATTAGATCCTCAAAAATATTTTTTAAAATACTAAACAATACCGAAAAAGGTGTGAAAATTAAAAAAATCATGAACACATCAATAATAAAAGTTAGAATATTTTGCCACTCCCAAAAATTTGCCGCCCGGGGCATTTGCCCCTTTCGCCCCCCCCCTTTAATGCGCCACTGCCAATAATGATCGGTCTTTTACGGTAACTTACACATGCCTACACTGATTAATGTATAATATTACAATTACTTTCATTGCGTATGCACATTATTATTACGTTTAGGTTTATACATACGCATACTGCTGGGCATTAATGATTGATTTTTATTTGTTTAACACATGTAGCAAACTGGAAACAAACGTTCCGGAGTGGCTTGCGCTAACTGTTCAACAAATACGACGACTCTGTGGAGAAGAAACAACAACGGTGAACCTGTGTGTAACGCTTGCGGTCTTTATTTTAAATTACACAACGTAAGCTATATTTAATCCGTCGCTTGTATACAAATTATTGTGTACATAATGTTATTCGTCATGTACAATGCGCGAGTTAATACTGTTGTACATACACGTGATGATTTTACATTAGTCGGCAAAATAATACATACATTATTATTGTTAATATTTCTATTATTTACGTATAAGTGAACATACAATCAGTGCTCATTACAGACTTTCTACCCCAGGAGTATCGTAAATTTTCGAGAGGTATATAAAAAAATTATTAATGTTCGGTGGGTATCACCATAACCAATAAATTCGCTGAAACAATCGGTTGTAAATAAATAAACGAAAATAATATTGTCACACAACTCGCAAGTGCGTAACGGGAAAACAACCGTTTCACGTAAAATTTAAGTGATCTTGACGGAGAAGAAAAAAATTTCAGTCGACGTGACTATAAATATTGTGCGATGTGTATGATGACAGTTTTTTCGTTGGAAATCGTCGAGTACAAATGTACGACAATAATATTAAGCGAGTAATAACTGCTATATGTCGTCGCGTTGCAATAGGATTTGTTGCTTGTCTCGTTTTCACATATTGTGTTTTTACTAACGTTTTCTAAAATATCTTCTCGAAAAGTTTGTTTTACTTATCTTGGTCAGTGTTTAACGATTTGTAGATATAATATAGATTTCCGCGATCGGCACATAATCATTATGTGGTGTGTACGTGCGCGCGCGCGCGTGTGTGTAGATACTTTACTCTTGATTCCCACGGGCCCAATATTATCTGTTTACACTTTTCGTATTTTATTTATTTTTTCTAAACCGTTCGCTCTCCAGTCTTTTAACCGGCTTTTACTTTCGTTCGTCGTAAACAATAAACATTTGTTAGAGAAAAGAAAGAAAAAAAACGAACGTTCGGCTTACCTGCCTATACGGTACGGGTACATTGCGGGTAACTAATATTGTACATAGTGTACCGTTTCGATGGACGTTAGTAATAAATATTTCACTTTCTCGCATTCTTCTAGATAGTGGTCGGTTTTTGTTTTTTGTATTTTTCAAATTACTTTAGATTTTCATTTCGATGACGACTTCTATTTTGGCTCGTACGCGTCACCCGGTGTGTAAATATCCGTTAAGGTGGAAACCTTTTCCTCGGACTGCCGTCGATGCGTCGTAGATGTAGTCGCACGTCATACGTATGTGCGTATTATACACGCGTGCGAGCCGACATCGAATATATACCTATACCGGATGGTTGTCGTGTCAATATTAACTAGGAAACCCAGATGACTAACTAGAGTTCGTGAATGATAAACATTGTTTCACGGGTGATTTCAGGTCAATAGGCCGCTGACAATGAAAAAGGATGGGATACAGACGAGGAAGAGGAAACCCAAGAACCCGTCCATGGGATTCGGCCAAAACTCATCGTCGTCCAAGGAGAAACCACAAGGTATCAATATATAATACACAACTATATCGGCAGTTTACGATCGGTTACAATATGTATATACAACATACATATTATTATTATAATATTGTAACAGCTTTTATTTATTTTCTGGTAATAATTTTGTTTGTGTGTGTGTGTGTGTGTGTGTGTGTGTATGTACTTGGGGGAAGTCATACGAGAGTGGCATGGCTCGCATGCATGGGATTTACGGCCTTATCAGTAAGTATGTCAACATTGCAGTGTTTGCACAAGAGAATATTAGGTGAAGTGTGCAAAGAGTTGGAGGTGGTATTACTGATAAGGAACAATGTTTAACAATCCTCGTGGCGGTAAACACAATGACATAAAAAATAAAAAGGAAAAAATTAAATATAATGTAATATAGCGAGTCGAGTTTTGACACATCGCATTTGATGCATATTGCGTTCTACTTAATTTAAAATAGATTTACTTTTTACCTTGAATAATATAAAATTATTTATGTAATCACCACAATTCATTAATATTTTGAAAAGTTTTTACTCTCTCAGTTTTTTACCTCACAGTTGTTTAGTTTTTATCAATAACTTTTTTATGGACATTTTTCTTGTTTCCCGGTGTATCTTTAGTATTTATACTCATCGGAACTCTAAATTATATAAGTTATTGTAACAAGTAGTTTTTAATATTATTAATAGTAAGAACGTTTTATAATAAAATGTTATTTTCTTGGTTATCGAGGTGAAATTTCATAGTTAGTACGATGTCTTATCAAAATTCAATTATTTATAACTTTGAACATTATTCTTACATTATAATATTAATTTAAACCGATTTTTTTGCTTAAATGTTTGTTAAGACCATAGGTGTTCAGACAAATTTAATTAAAAATCATAACGATTTGAAATTAATAGTATTTAAATTGTACTTGTTACAAACTTTACTCTTAAGATGAAATTTATATTTTATAATTATTATATATATGGGCCATATATATATAAATCAAAAAATGATTATGTACTTCAAAAATAGTTTTGTCATAAAATGAAAAACTTATCATAAATTACATAATGAATTAATATAAATGGAAATAATTATATTATGTTGGTGTTATTCAAAATTCTTAATTTTTATAAAATAATCTATTTATTTATAAATTAAATTTATATTTTCAAATTAATAAGCCGTTTTACTTAATAACTAAAATTAAATCATGATATGAAATAATCCTAAATTGTAATATGAATGTGTTTAGAAAAAAATAAAAATAGTTTCTTTGAGTTTGTAGAATAAGTTGCGTTTTATATATTTTTAAGGCACCATTTTTTTAATTTAAGTTTTTGTCTTTATTTTTATAAAGATTAAAATAGTTATAGCCTAGTTATTTATTAAATCTATTTTATATTATATCTACATATAATATAATATATATATATTCTAAATATATGAAATGTATTAAATGTTTCAATAGTAATAGGTACTTAAGTATATTAACAATATACTAATACATTGTATATATTATGTTACAGGAGAAGTAACAAAGCTTCTACTTCCACATTTGTTTACGAATTCTTCGGATAATAAACACCAACACGAACATCTTGATTATGATTCAGCTGTGATGACAACACAAGAACACTTTCTGCATCACAGCTCCCAAATTCATATTCCTTCATTACCTCCAACGTCGACAAATATTAATCGTCATGTGTCAAAGTAAATAATATTCCTGCTAAAATATTCTTATACAAAAAATTTTAAAAATTTTAACAATTACTTATAACATTAAATCTTAATTATTTGTTAATTAGTAACATTGTACATAAATATATTATTAAATTTAATAAAATAATAAAAATAATAAAAATTTGTAAACAGTTCAAATTTAATTTAATATTAAATTTAGTCTTAAAAAAAATAAAAACTATTATGTTTCTAAAAACTATTTGAATTCAACATTTCAAATAATATATTAATTAAAATAGAATGAACAAATAACAATAAATTTTGTTTAATGACTCAATTTTGTTTTTTCTTTAGTAATACACAAGTGATGGAACAACTGGGATCTAGAGACATGTTAACTAGTGTAATTACTTCTACAGGAAATCAAAACATTATAAGAGATGATTGATTGATGTTCAATATAAATTAATGAGTTTTTTGTGAACTATATAAATTAGAAGGTAAATTTGAAGTTTCACATTATAAATTTGTTCATTAATTAAATTTATATGGTAAATATTTTATTGTATGTTATTTTATTGCATAGTTCTCTATAGAATGTACAGTTGAAATATTTAATTTAAATGTAAAAATCTTAAAAGTTTTTGCCAAATAATAAAAAATATAGCTGATTGTTTATTTGATTTAAAATACACATATTTATTTATTAAATTAATTGATATGGATTCTCAATGATTTGAAAAAAAAAAATGATCATTCTATTCAATAAAACTTGATTGTTTTATTTTGTGTAATTTCCTTAAAATGAGATTTATTGAGAATTCATAGATAAATTTAATTAATAATATTTTAACAACTTAAGTTAATTAAATATATGAAAGGGTTATTATATTAAATAATCTAATTAGAGTAGGAAACATTAGATTTTAAACTATGAAAATATTTAAAACACTTAGTTACTGAATGTAAGTTGTATTTAAGTATTTTTTAGTGATATTTTATCATGTTAAATACTGTATACCTTTTTTTGTTTTTGTTGTACCTAACATATTGAAATGTTAACATGTTAAACATTTAGGTAGTATTTATTTAATGTATGAACTGTACATAGTTTAATATAATTTAGAAAAGGTTGACACATAAAATAAATTAATCATAATTACTCTTACCAAAACCTATCTGCTGTCATTCAGTTAACTTTTTGATATACAATTTTCTATAAACTATGCGTTTTTATAAATTATTTCTAATATGACAACTCATCAAAAACTGAGAAATTTGAATTTTGTTTCAAGTAGGTAACATAGTATTACTTACATTTTAGAGTTTTTTTTTTTTTGTATTTCTTATTTCTTAAATTTTTCTTTTATTTTTCTATTATTATTTTCTATTGTAAATGTGTCGTATTGTATTTATATTATAGTTTACTAATTTTAATATTGTAATTGTAATACATTTTGTAATACAGTCTTGGTTTTAATAGTATTAAAAATAGGCATTTAAGTAAATTGCAATTAAAATGTAAAATAGTTTGGAAAGAAATGCTCAAATGTATTTTGACTAACTAGAACTTTAAAATAAGGACAGTACACTTTGTTCAATTATACTGATTCATGAGGAAAATTTTTTAAATAATCCAACCTCAGTAAAAAATACTTAAATCAAGGTTGCGTACAAGAGGGCTGTGTTTAATTAACGCATTATAAGTATTTTTTTCACACAGTTGTCACGTGTTAAGTTATTATTTACATTGTTAATTGTTATCAGTATTAATGTACCTATAGATTATTTATTCATAGCTTGGTTAAGTCATTGAAGTACTTATTGTAAGTTATTATAACTGACTTAAGACAAATAATCATCTCCATTGTTAAATAATATTACATTTAAAACTGAAATTTTGCCGTAATGTGCGAACAAAGGCATATTAAAAAAAAAAAAAAAAAACTGAAATGTGGTACAGTTTTTATTTAAATACATATTAATGTAATAAAGCAAAATCTAGTTAATCAAAATTTACTGTACTATTAATTGAAATAGTGTTAAAAAAAAAAAAATCAACTATTGCAGAAGAAGAATAAATATATATATTTTGTTAATTATTTAATTTTATCATCATAATTTTATCATGTATACTTACAAATTTGTTTACGCGCGTGTTCACAAGACGGATGCTAAGTCCTAATATTTGTATAACGGAGTCTTGTACGTGTTCGAAAGATGGTAGATCGTGGACTAGTCTTTAATATTTTTGACCCAGTCATGTGTGTTGATATTGTTTTATATTTGCAATCGCTGAATGATGGTGGAAAACGCTGACTATGTTGATATTGTTTTTTTTTTTGCGCGTATGTATTATTAACATGTAACGAACGGTAGGCTCCTACATAATAGTTATCAATTATCACTGTAACATATTTAATATATTACTATTTTATTTATTACAAAACGATATTTCTAACTGCTATTAATATAAAAACGATAAAAGTACTCATCAATTAACTTTTTTTGTACCTATTTGTATTATCAAACTTTTAAAAAATACTTATAAATTAATAATGAATTACATTTATTTACCTATTCTTCTTTTTTTATATTTCTTAATTACTTTTAATTCAATTCTTATTTTGATTATTTATATTATTTAGATCAAATTTTGTATAAGTTATATTTTATGGTCGATGGCCGTAACTCATTACAAAAGAAACAAGAGTGTTAAATGTATTATTATTGTGCTATCGGGGTCGGTATATTTACACGTTTTGAACACATAAAAATAAAAACACTTCTGCACTTATTATGTATGATGTACATTGTATATGTTATTAAAATTGTTTTTTTAGTTTTGAGGTATTATTTACATTTTTGATGATTACATAATATACATATAAATAAAGTCAAATAACAAAATTAACCTATCCACATTTAGTTTTTAACAAGGTCTAATTGAATCAATTTTTTTTAATTTTTATATTTCGCGTAAATTCAAGGCTTAAAACGAACAGTCTCGTTCAAACTTTTATTGCATAAATAACATAAATGATATATTTGATAATTACTAAACAAATATTAGAGGTAGGGTATATAATATCGTAATAATGACATTATTACCTAACCAGAGGATCACAGTGACGAGTTAGAAGCAAATTGATGCATGTCATTTTTAAGTGTCTCTGGTGTCATTTTAGTTATTATTTATATTGTTTGTTTGGTTTAACAAATTACTTCAAATAATGATTAAATACAGATCAGTATAATTGCATAGGAGATTTTTAGTTTTATTTTGCATGGAAATGAAGTCACTCTATCTACCTTCAAATGACACCACTAAGCTATATAGAAATTTAAAGTAGTAAAATGCGTAAGACATCAGTGCAACATAATAATCCTCGATTTTTTGGTTTACAAAAGCTTCCATTACTTGAACACGAAAATATAGTTTAATAGTACAATTCATTTGTAAATTGTTGAATCGAAATTTTAAAAAAAATATTTAAAAGCCGTTTTGTTCGAAACTACTCAAATATAGAATTTTTATCTCACAAGAAGAATGAGATATGATTTATAATTTTTATTTATTTGTGTTTTATTGAATTTTTAAATGGCTGAAAACAATTTTTGCCGCTTATATAATATTATTGTTATCATGTTCTATGATAGGTAGTTACAAGCACGTCCACAGGATAATATGCCACCCTGGGCAAGATTAAAATTCTAAGGGCAAAAACAACGTGTACCTAAAAATAGATGAGAACAAAATCGTGTACAATAGAAATCGGTACTCGGGAGAATTTATAGTTTTAAGTAATATGCAGTCATGTGTCAAAATTGTAAACTAATAAATACGTTGAAGATTACATAAAAATACAATACATTTTACTAAATTTCAGAAATGGATATCAATAAAATTATGCTATAATTAATATGCGCGGTATTAAATTAACAATAGTTTTGAAAAAAAAAATTCCCAGTAGGGGTAATGGCTCCTTTGGCTCCCCCCTCCTCCTGCGGGTTGTTAATGGGTAGTTAATTTCATTTTAAGTTTGCTTAAATGTTTTTTTAGTATAGCTTAATTTTAAATATATATATGTTACGGGCAAAGTATACAATTTGGGCATTTTATACATTGTCCGGACAGTATATAAAATGCCCTTCGTATATTGGTCAATATAGATAACAGATATGATTTAATGAAATATGATAAATCAATGAATAATGACATGTATTTATATTATTGATTAATTCATCTCAGTAGATATAATTTATTGCACCACCAATCCTTTCTTGGCTGTGCTTCTTTTTCTTTTACATGATTCGCAACTATTTAAGTATAGCATAATCATATTTTTGGTGATATTTTTATACTTTGTATTTACCTCATGTTCCATCCTGTTTCGTCCACCATGTCCAATCGATAAATGTACATAATATTTAATTTCATTGTTTTCAGATACTGGTACAATTAACTTGTTAACATCAGAAACTTTTAACACGTCATATTTTTTTAAAAGTTTATAATCATTCGGTTCCTTTTTCTTTGAATTGTTTTTGAATTGATTTTCATGTAAACTTAATTGATCAAATTTTAACTTGGTAAAAAATGAAGTATTTGAACTTTTTTTTTAAAAAATTGTTTAAATCATCATTAAACTTTTCCATATTCGAATAGGTAGTTAGGTACGCAGTGAATGAATTAATCCGCACTATACAAACGATTCACGGTTACTAAATAGTTCATTTTTGAGAATAGGTAAAAGGCCGACTGCATGATAATCACTACAATTTTATATAATAAAACTTATAAATCAGTAAATATAGTAATAATATATTATGTCACGTACACGCGTATATGTGGACAAGCGGACATCCCCATTGTAAGAATACAATAAGAACAAACAAACTAGTTACAGATAATATTTTTTAGATAATATATGACTATTTTAACTATGTTTTACGATTTATCATATTTCATTAAATCATATCATCCGTTATCTATATTGCCCAATATACGAAGGGCATTTTATATACTGTCCGGACAATGTATAAAATGCCCAAATTGTAGGTATACTTTGCCCGTAATATATATATATATAATTAAATATTTAATATATATTAAATATATAATTAAATATATATAAATATATATTTATGATAATATTGTGACTGTACATATTTACAGCATAACCGTGAGTAATTATATTTATCAGAAATTGATAAATTAATTTTAATTTTTAAATTAATGGATAACATAAGAAAATCTGAATGGAACTTGAGAAGTGGTAGAAGATACTTATTCGAAACTACACTTTATTCCAAAAAAAAAGAACGTTAATAGTGTACAATTATTATCATTATTATGTAGGTACATAAAATGGTTTTATTTTTATTCATTTATCTCACATATTCTACAGCATCACTGGAATTGATTGGAAAAACTTGCACTGTGGTCTATATAAATAAATAGAAAATATCTTACACAATTTAATTTTACTATAATATTATAGCACTTATGCTGTTGTTTTGTTAAAAAATAATATTTATTCTCTTGGAAATGTTTT